GCTGGCCCGCTGCGTCCCCTTCTCGGGCTGCAGGGCCGCCTCCGCCGCTTTGCCGGCCGGAGCTGTGCCTGTGATGAGCCGCAGCTCTCCGCGAGCTCTGCCCCCGGGCGCGCTGCCCCGGCTGCTCCCGGCTGTGCCTGCCGCCGCGCCACGCGCCCTGCTCCCGCCGTGGCCCCGGCGCCCAGGACGCCGCTGGCCCGCGTCCCCGCTCGGAATGAAGGTGTTCCGCAGGAAGGCGCTGGTGCTGTGTGCGGGCTATGCACTGCTGCTGGTGCTTACCATGCTCAACCTCCTGGACTACAAATGGCACAAGGAGCCGCTGCAGCAGTGCAACCCCGACGGGCCGCTGGGTGCCGCGGCAGGGGCAGCTGGGGGCAGCTGGGGGCGCCCGGGGCCGCCTCCAGCGGCTCCACCCCGCTCTCACACGCGTTTGGACCCCCGCACTCCGTACCGCCCTCCCGTTGCCGCCGTCGGGGCAGCTCCTGCGGCAGCCTTGGGAGTGGTGGGGGCCGCGGCCCCTCCAGGCAATGGCACTCGGGGCACCAGGGACGGCGGGGACAAGCGGCAGCTGGTATATGTGTTTACCACGTGGCGCTCGGGCTCGTCCTTCTTCGGCGAGCTTTTCAACCAGAACCCCGAGGTGTTCTTCCTCTACGAGCCAGTATGGCACGTGTGGCAAAAACTGTACCCCGGGGACGCCGTTTCCCTGCAGGGGGCAGCGCGGGACATGCTGAGCGCTCTCTATCGCTGCGATCTCTCCGTTTTCCAGTTGTATAGTCCGGCGGGCAGTGGGGGGCGCAACCTTACTACTCTGGGCATCTTTGGGGCAGCCACCAACAAAGTGGTGTGCTCCTCGCCACTGTGCCCCGCCTACCGTAAGGAGGTCGTGGGACTGGTGGACGACCGGGTGTGCAAGAAGTGCCCTCCTCAGCGCCTGGCACGCTTTGAGGAGGAGTGCCGCAAGTACCGCACACTGGTCATCAAGGGCGTGCGCGTCTTCGACGTGGCCGTATTGGCGCCACTGCTTCGAGACCCGGCCCTGGACCTCAAGGTCATCCACCTGGTGCGTGATCCCCGTGCGGTTGCCAGCTCACGCATCCGCTCGCGCCACGGCCTCATCCGTGAGAGCCTACAAGTGGTGCGCAGCCGGGATCCGCGAGCCCATCGAATGCCCTTCCTGGAGGCCGCCGGCCACAAGCTGGGTGCCAAGAAGGAGGGTATGGGCGGCCCCGCAGACTACCATGCGCTGGGCGCTATGGAGGTCATCTGCAACAGCATGGCCAAGACGCTGCAGACAGCCCTGCAGCCCCCAGACTGGCTGCAGGGTCACTACCTGGTGGTGCGGTACGAGGACCTGGTGGGAGACCCCATTAAGACGCTACGGAGGGTGTACGACTTTGTGGGGCTGCTGGTGAGTCCAGAAATGGAGCAGTTTGCCCTGAACATGACCAGTGGCTCAGGATCCTCCTCTAAGCCATTCGTGGTATCAGCTCGCAATGCCACGCAGGCTGCCAATGCCTGGCGGACGGCACTCACCTTCCAGCAGATCAAGCAGGTGGAGGAGTTTTGTTACCAGCCCATGGCTGTGTTGGGTTATGAGCGGGTCAACAGCCCCGAGGAGGTCAAAGACCTCAGCAAGACCCTGCTTCGGAAGCCCCGGCTCTGAGAGAGTTTCCCAGGAGATCCGACACTCTGTGGAGACACCCACAAAGATAACTGTGATGTGTTTAAACAAACAGCCCAGACCCAAACTGAGGTAGCCCACATATTCTATTATAGATATATAATATAAATAACCACACAGGCACTAGCTGTCGATGTTTTGAGTCAGTGAATTTCAAGGAACAGAAAACACACACACACACACACACACACACACACACACCTCAGAAAAGGTAAGACTTGAAAGTTCTGAACAGTGGTCCCTCCTCTCTTGTCCCCTGTCTCTTTCCCCTTCCCCTTTCTCCTGTTTCTCACCCTCTCTCCCACCTGCCTTCCATTTTGAAGTGGAATGTTGATGAAATCTAGTTCCAGTAACCCAAATCTTGTTTACAAAGTTTTCGTGGTATCTGTGAACATGTAAGAGTAATCTGGATGTGGGTGGGGGGTGGGGCGGACAAAGGGGAAGTGGTCCAGGAAAAAAAAGCCCCACTGGGCCTGATAATAAACTAAGGAGGCATTCCTCTAAAGTAGACTTTTGTGTAAAAAAGCAAAGGTTACATGTGAGTATTAATAAAGAAGATAATAAATAATATTCTTTTTTTTTTTTTTAAATATATTTGCCTCCCTTGCTTTGGATTTACCTGTGTTACTTGTCCTACAGAGCTTCAGATAGAATCTGCTTCCCTTCCGCCTTCCCTTGTTTCTAGCCCTCTCCTGAAGGACAGCTAACCAGGGAGAAGCTTCTGGCTCCTTGATAATAACCCCGGAATTGTTTTCTCACATGTAAATCACAGCCTGCCAGGTGTTCAGGAATGGAACAAATCTTCAAATTCTACAGGCACAACCAAGACGGTTGGAAGAAAATGCACAAACTACTCTCCTGTTGAACTCCAAGTACAGAAAGGCAGAAGTGAGCCCTTGAGGATTTGAATGCATTTGCTTTTGATTTCTACTGTATTGAGTTAAGACAGAGAACCTTGAAGCTGAGACTAACGTTTTTGTCATGAGTTTGGCTCTGGGAAAAGTCTTTTTAAAAAGTACGTAATTTTAGAAAATTCTGATGATTAGAACACAAGCCTCAAAAAATGAATGTGAACATATTGTTGGCGATGGTAGCAACTTCTTCCGTTAACAAAGTGACACAAGTATCTGTCTGGGGTGTTTTTCTGCCTCTGACACAGTTCCCAGGCTTAGAAAAGCAGAGAAATTTTATCTTCCCCTTTTAAGTAAGGGCACTTATGGGCTCTTCCTCTTCTTCCTCGCTTACCATCCAAATTAGTGAGAAAGAGAATATGAATTTATAATGGTTTACTTGGGATGCCTAGGGGATATGTTGCTTTCTTTATCATGTTTCCTAAAAGGAAATTTGCAAAGAAAACACATGCTGCAGACAGTGTAAGGCTTCAGCCAAGAGCTTCTTTTAGATTTGAAAATGAATTATGGCGAAGAGAAAATAAAAATGGATTAGTGTGTAGGATTTTGAGATTTGGTACTTTCCCAGGGAGAAAACCATTGAATTTTCCTGCAATGGATGTGATATTGCTGTGTCCTGAACCCATATTGTACTGAAGCGTTCTGCAGAATGTTGTATTAGGATAAGAAATTCTGAAGCCCAAATGGGAACAAGAGACAGTGTGGTTGTATATTGCATTAAATACGGTACAAGTTCAATATCATCATGGCTTTATTTTACTATAATTTGTAATGAGGTTTCTGAAAGTTGTTATGTATAAATTCTGAAGATTTTATTTTAGAGAAAAGACAATGAAAAATAATACATACATGGAAAATATTTGAACACAAAGTGATTCTTAAGTATGACTATCATTGGGTTGGGGCTTAGCTCAGTTGGTATGTGCTTGCCTTGCATGTACAAGGCCCTGAGTTCAATCCCCAACACTACACCAAAAAAAAAAAAAAAAGCATAATTATCATTATAGTGTGAGATCTAACTACATTGGTAAAAATTCCGAGATGAAGAAGTGTATAGGTTGTTTTTATTTTAAAGGTATATATGGCAGTGGATTTTATAACATGTTCTAGAATGGTTGTTTCTTAATATACTAAAATAGTTTCTAATATTGTGTTTATTAAGTTATATTACAGTTATGACACAGTGATCATATTGTTCATGATTTTTTTGTGGTAGTGCCTATGCTGAATTATCTTCAGCAACATTTGTAAGAGCTTTAATTTAAGAATACTTTAAAACTAAATGAACAAAATAAATATTAATGTTGGATGACTATAGATGAAAAAGGGTTTAGTGGGAAATTAAGATAGCATCATTAAAAAGCAACCACTCTGAATAAAATAACCATTTAAAAACAAATTTCATGTGGCATTAGAATCAGCTCTTAACCACCACAGTGAAATTTATGCCTGGTTCTTGAGCGAAGGATTTTTAAGCAGTTGAATTCATTCTTCTCCCAGTATATCCAGTGACTTGGATTGTGCTCAAGTAGGATGATGACGTTTTTGGATCTTGTATTAAAAAAAAAAATAGATGCTATGCAGAGCCTTAGCAGTCTCCAGAACATTTCTGGCCTCTGCTCAGATGAAATATTAAGCTCACACCAACCGTTCCCCCCTCACTCTGTTTGCACAGTTTTTTTTTTGCCTGTAATTTCCTTGTTTTGTGGCAGCTTTATCCTCTCCACTCTGCCACTCTTGGACTCTGTAATTTGAAAGGTGAATTGTTCCTGGAGATTTGCACCTAGCTGCCTTCTAGGAAAGTGAGAAGAGGGTTGTTCCTCCTAACAGCTGAGATAGTCATATCAGTGACATTCAGCTTCTGCAGGTTTGAGGAGAGGAGCCTTTTTTGCGTTAACAAGCTCCTGTCAGCCCCTGGTGCAAACAGGCCTGGGCCACAACAAATTGTAACAGAGCCTATGACAGTTTTGGAGGCAGCACACATGAAAGAGATCCTTTCACATTTCCCAGCCTGGCAAGATGTCCATCAGCAGGAGGAAACATTCTCCCGAGCACGTTATTAGAGTTGATTTGTATTTTAAGCCCTGCTCAACTAATAGCACTCCTGACTTACACTTTTGACTTTGGAATGTCTGTGTTAATTGGAAAGTTCTATGTAGAAAATAAATCCCATGCCATGCCTTTAGTCAACAAATATGGTTTTAGAAAAAGGCAGAGGCACAGGGTGGGTGCTTGAGTTTCAGGAAGCTCAGAGCCACTGAAAGGCTTCATTCAGATTGTGGGCCGGGGCTGGAGCAAACCTCTACCCTTTGGTGTTTGCCACACAGTGAGTGCTGGATATATATTTATCAAAGAAGTGAAGGAACTATGTAGCTATCTAATTTTGAAAATGCTCAGAGGGCAAGAGTTGAAGAATATGTTATCTGTCTGGGGACAGATCCAGGCTATTCACTGTGGTTTGCTGAAGGAAGTGGGCCCTATTTAGATGCAGGCAGTAAGCAATATCTTTAAGATGTTCAGGGAAACTTGTATATAGACCAGTATTTCCCACTGATGAGTTAGAAACAGAAAGGCAGAATTTATGAATGTGAAGGAGTGAAAGTTTCCAAATAAGGAACTAACTTTTTAATATTTATTTTCCCAACTCTATGAACAATGTGCAGGCAGGGATCGGAACATACCTGCAGAACAAATGTGCCCAGGTGCCTAGGAGAGGCTGTAACATGATTCATTTTTGTAGAAGCCATGTGAGAACTTATTGTTTCTGTGCTGTGAATGTGCAGACAAGTGCTCTGGTGTAAATTTAACCCAAGAATGGTTACTTCAGGGAGTTTGTTCTATTGTGGATGCTGAATGAGACAACGGCTGTCTATCCCATGCATCCCTGCCTGGCTGCAGCCAGTCCTGGGCAGGGTTTCTATTACACACAGTAGAGTTGTGACTAGATGATGGCGATGGTTTTGAAATTAATGTGAATTCGGTTGAGGCTATTACATTAATATTCCCTAGCCACTGAGCAATGAAATAAAGATCATGTTTGAATCCCAGTATCTAGACATGACTTCAGAAGAGCAAGAGGGAAATTAAACAGGCGTGTCTCTTCTGTAGACATGGTAAATAAGGGTGAGATGTCACTTTACCACCCTTCTCCAACTTTCTTCCTTCCGTACACAACACATACCCACACCCACACACACCATATTGAGTTCCTGCATTGTCTTGAAGGAGTCTGGACAAGAATATTTAATTTTTTTCTGTTTTGGAGCTGGGTTTGGAACCCATGTTCTCATGTATACCAGGTGAGTTCTGTACTCCAGAGCTATATTTCCAGCCTCAGAGAATGTTTCAATACCAGCTAATGGGTAGGTGGTGAGCTCACTTTTGATCTCAGGCTTCTGGAGAGTGAATGGCCAATTATTGTATCAGAACCTGTGACAGTTCTGTGTCAGGATCCAATGTGGACAGGTACAAAACGACAATTGCAATTTGAGGGATGGCTAAAGGTATGTGATGGGATATCCCCAGGTAAGTGCATAGTTTATATACCTCTTTTGTCACTCACCTTGAGAAGAAGCCCTTTCAAGCCTGTCACAGCTAAGAAAATAATTTGTTTGAAATACTTTTCCTTCTTTCTGGACCTCCAGCTGCTACTTTTGCAGTTCAAAAATACAAGCCAATGAACAACTCGGGTACAGGCCTTGGTACAAGTGTTCAATAATTGCAATCACAAGGCTTGACTTTTATTATATCTGAGGCAATTCTGCACACCCTTAATCAAATTATTTTAAAGGAAATGTTAGATTCTGCATAACACATCAAGTTTGTAGAATGGGAAACTTTCTGAACCAGTGTTTGAAGGGTGTTGTTGTTTATAAAATTAAAGGAGTTTTGAAAGAGCAGGAGCCTGTCTGTACGCTTGGTAACATGATGATAAAGGGTGGTCAAGGCCAGAGCTTAACTTTTGGTTGAATTAGTTATCTGTAAGGAAATGTCAAAAGTATTTTGGGGCTGATTGACCTTTGAGGTTTGTGATGGTCACCCTACCAAGTGAGTGATGGTAAAAATAACCCCTGTAACCCAAAGCTATACTCAGAAACGTTTTGCAGTGGTTTCTATACCAGGTATATAGACAGGGCTAGAAATTGAAGTGCTTAGTTTTCTGGACAGGACCAGCTACATAATTTGCAGAGCTCAGAGCAAAACAAAAGTGCAAGGCCCTTGTTTAAAAAAAATCAGGCTTTCAAGATGACAGTTACACCAAGCACGGGGGCCCCCTTTAAGCAGGGGGGCAAGAGTGCAGGTTGTATGTCCCTGAAGCTGATACTGTCTCCAGACGCAAGGAATTAAATGTCTAGCTACAGGAGAGAACGAATAATGGTGCAAATGAAAAATGGGTGCAAAAACCTGTGTGATTGTGTATAACTACAATGAGGCTTGTTGAGCACACTGCGACGGCATTTTAAAGTGGAGTATGCACACCCAACAATGTACTTCCTGGTGTTTGCAGCCAGTGATTGACAACGCTCTCTTAACCATTGGTTGAGTACAATAACATTTGGGATGGTCCTATTGAAGATGAAGGGAGCCTGTGCTGCTCCTGGGATCCTTATAAGAACAGGTCAGGACAGACATCTTGCATAAGGACGGAGAACATGACCTCCTTGTACTCTGGAATGTGAATGCTGACAGGTTCCTCTAATAATATTTCCTTCCTTCTGGAACTTTTGTGGGGCTCTCCTCATTTTTGTGGGGCTTCTCCTTTTCTTAGTATGTAATAGAGACAGAAAGTCCATGGAAAAGCAAAAGGTTGAGTCACAATAAGCTCAAGGAGTAAAGGGACAAGATGTACTAAGCCAACTGGCATTCCTCTTTATTGTGTTAAGTCAAATTGGTGCAGATGATTTGTATTTTGGTTTTGAAATATCGAATTTTCCTCTGGGTCTCAGTTCTTCACTTTGTCTCTCTCTTTCTGCCTGCCTGCCTCCCTTTTCTTTTTTTTTTAATTGTGAATTTCTACTCCTTATTGAAGGTTCTGGATCTTTGTGCCAGTCCTGCTCCAAGATGCAGAAATGTTTTTCTGTTCCCTATTCTACTATAATGCTGCATACTTAGATCTATCAGTGTTATCACTGCAGATTGGAATCAGGCTAATAGGCGTATTTCCCCCTCCTGGGATAGATCCTTCCCTAGAAGGGATTGGATCTTATTTGCGTGAGTGTGTGTGTGTGTGTGTGTGTGTGTGTGTGTGTGTTTCCCCTGTACCAAGACAGCTTCTTGTACTTAAGTCTTTAATAAGTGGGAGCTAAATAACAAATGTTGCCCAAGAAGCCGGAGCAGAAGAGATGGAGGCACAGATGCTTTGTCAATAGGTTTTAGAGTTAGCACTGCTGTATTCCACTTTCATTTATATGTGTGTCAGATGAGAAGCTGAAAAAACAAGACAAATTAATACAGATGAAAGTGAAGGCCTGAAAGAAAGTTAACAAGTGAATTACCATCAAGGAAAAGTTATATATAATGAAAATTCTAAGGTCCAAGCAGGAAAATGTATTCTTGCAATGTAGTCTGAGACCATTATTTGTTTTTGACATGTAGAGTTCACCCCCAGTTTGATCATCTTCTAATCATTTCAGAGACTGGAAAATTTTCAAGAAACAACATTGATGTCTAAATATTACCTTTCCATTTTCAGATGTCCCAGTTACTCTGGCCAACTCTTGGTCTCTCTAGGATTGAACTAGTTCCTGGGAGGAATTCAAATATTTCATGTTCTCATATTGGTGCCCAGGTATCTTTATATGAAGGGTGGCATTACATTACTTTTTGAAAGAAAAATAGGAATGGAAACACATCTTCATTCACTATCTATATCTATAGTTTTTTTTCCCCTGTTATTTAACCAGACCTACTTCCTGGTGAGACCGGTATTCTCCCAAGGACGCAAGTTCCGAGATCCCATTATTTAGGTTAAATCTTCGCTGCACGTAGTTTTTCATTTATATTTTCATATTTCCCAAGTGGCTTCTTCATGTGCTCTGCTCTTTATAACTTTCAATCATCGTTTTCATTTCACTTTCAAATGCCCTAAATAGCAAGACAATGCTGGGTTAGTCTCTGCAAAGTGCTTTATTAAGGCTGATTCCATTTGATTCCCATGCAATCAGCATTAAGACGACCCCCGTTGTACAGAAGGGCATATCAGTTTGGATGGGTAGTTTTCCCAAGCCACATGGCTAATGAATGGCACAGTCTTTCTTTTTGCCACGTACATCAGAGATCACACTGTTTCCTTTGAAGAGATACCTACAA